GGTGGAGGTGGGAGTGCATCAAGGATCGGCTCTGAACCCCTTCTTATTTGCTCTGGTGATGGACCAACTAACAGATAAGGTCGGGCAAGAATCCCCATGGACGATGATGTTTGCAGATGACGTGATCTGTGATGAGAACAGGGAACAGATGGAAGAGAACTTAGAGAGGTGGAGGAAATGCACTTGAAAGAAGAGGAATGAAAGTCAGCCGTAGTAAGACAGAGTACATGTGTGTGAATGAGAGGGAGGAGGTGGAACAGTGAGGCTACAAGGAGCAGAGGTCACAAAGGTGCAGGACTTCAAGGACTTGGGGTCCACTGTCCAGGAAAATGGGGATTGTAGTAAAGAAGTGAAGAAGAGAGTCCAGGCAGGATGGAGTGGATGGAGAAAAGTTTCAGGAGTGATTTGTGACAAAAGGGTGTCGGCAAAGGTCAAAGGAAAAGTTTACAACATAGTGTTGACACGAGCTATATTGTATTGTTTAGAGCAGGGGTATGCAGCCTGTGACTTTGGAGCCACATGGAGCTTTTTAGTCCCTCTGCAGAGGATTTTTCAAGCATTGACAAAAACTAACTTTAAACTGAATTTTATTGGTTCTTATAACAACAATAAGGGCTAGTTTTAGCAGTTTTATTGTAATTTATTTTGCAAATATGTGAATAGTAGAACTAATACTAAAAGTGAAACATATTCACTTTCACATTATGCTTTATTTCTTTAAAATAAGATACTTAATTTTCCCACAATTTAAAAAAATCACATCGACCTGCATAGTTCATTGTTTTAGTTTTTTTTAATGAGCAAGAACATATTTTCCTTCTTTACAAAAGTGATGTTACATATTAAGACAAAATAAAAGACAATACCAATACATGTTAAAAATCGGGCAGCACGGTGGCGCATCTGGTAGAGCTGCTGCCTCTCAACAAGAAGGTTGCCGGTTAAAATCTTGGTTCGGGGGCCTTTCTGGGTGGAGTTTGCATGTTCTAAACGTGACGTATGACGTGACTTTTGCATGACGTAAACATGATGGTCAAATCCTGTTTTTTTCAGCTGAGACGGCTGTCTAAGCTGAAGCCTATACTCTCCAAAAAGAACCTTGAGACAGTGATCCATGCCTTCATAACATCTAGGCTTGATTACTGCAATTCACTTCTGTTTGG